TTTTCATTACTCTTTCTCACACACCACATGTTAATCCATAAGCAAGCTAATATTGGTTCTGCCTTCAATAAAATCCCCAAAGTCATCAATTGTTCCTACTTCCAACATTGTTACTCCAGTCCCAGCCACTATATCTTTCATTGGACAATTTTAATAGCCAGCGACTCTTGTCCTCATAAACCCAAGTCCTTACCATGGCGCATGGGTCACAGGGCCTGGGCCTGCCTAGCTCATATCTCTTCTACTTGCTAACTATGCTCTAGTTACGGTGGTCTTTTCGCTGTTTCTTAAATAAGCTCATTCCTGACCCCAGGGACTTTATATTTGCTGCTCCCTGTGCCTAAAATGCCCCCCTCCAGGTCTTCAAATGACCCATTCCTTCCCTCCCATCCTCAGGTCTCTGATCACCTTCCCAGAAAGTCTTCCATGAGCACCGGATCTAAAATAGCTGCCTCGTCCTCCTTACCCATGTTCCTCTTAACTGGGATTATTTTCTTTACAGGCTTTACTGCCACCTGAACTTACATTATTTATTTGTAATTCTCCCAAACAAGAATTTAAGCCCCTGTAGGCAAGGATTTTATTTGCCTTGCTTATTATTACATCACCAGCACCTAGTGCATAGTACATAGCAGGAGCTCAAAAATATTTGTTCTATGAATGAACAAACTGAGTTTTTTAGAAGTCTAATTTTAAAAAACCAAAGGGTCAGGTACTATGCTTCTAGAACTTTGGGAGGCTGAGGCCCAAAAATCTCTTGAAGCCAGGAGTTTAAGACCAATCAACATGAGTAAGAACAAGATCTTGTCTTTACAAACAATAAAAAATTAGGTGGGCTTGGTGGTAAGAGCCTGTGGTCCAGCTACTCGGGAGATGGAAGCAGGAGATCCACATGGGTGCTGAAGTGTGAGGTTGCAGTGACCTGCAATAGTGCCACTGTACTCTAGACAGGGCAACACACCAAGAACCTGTCTCAAAAATAAATAGAACAAAGGAACAACAGCTGGGAGACAAGATTGTAGGGGGTTTGGAGTTTGTGGTGGGTTTTTACCTTTTTTTAAATTGACAAATAATAATAGTATATATTAATGGGGTATGATGTGATGTTCAATACATGTGTACAATATAGGATAATCAGATCCATTAGCAAAATTATCTCAAATATCATTTCTTTATGGTGAGAACATTAAAATCCTTTCTTTTAGCTATTTTGACATATACATTATTTTTAATTACAGTCAGTTTTCTGTGTCATAGAACACCAGAACAGATTCTTCACGTGTAAACATAACTTTGTACCTCGTAACCAATGTCTCCCTTTTTGATCTCCATCTCCCCCACTCCCAGCCTCTGATAATCACTATTCCACTCTCTAATTCTATGGGTTTGACTGTTTTAGATTCCACATGAGTGAGATCATGCAATATTTGTCTGTGTCTGGCTTATTTCACTTAACATACTGTCCTCTAGGTTCATCCTTGTCATAAATGACAAAATTTCCCAGGGTTTTTAAGGCTGAATACTATTCCATTGTGTATACAGACCACATTTTAAAAATCTATCCATCTACTGATGAACACTTACACTGTTTCCATATTTTGGGTATTGTGAATAATGCTGCAATGAACACAGGAGTGCAGACGTATCTTTGGCATACTGATTTCAACTCCTTTGAGTATATACTCCGTAGTGGGATTGCTGGATCAAACGGCAATGCTATTTTTAATTACTTGAGAAATCTCTGTGCTGCTTTCCAAATGGCTGGACTAATATATAATACTACCCACCCAGATAAGGGTTCCCTTTTCTCCACATCCTCAGCAACATGTGTTATCTTTCATCTTTTTGATAACAGACAATGTAACAGGTGTGCATTGCTATTTCATTTGGGCATTTTTTAAAAGCTGGCTGTACTCTGTCAATATATCTCATTTGGTTTTGATTTACACCTCTGTGATGATTTGAAATATTGAGCATTTTTTCATATGTCTGTTTGCCATTTGTATGCCTTCATTTGAGAAGTGTCTATTCAGGCCAGGTGCAGTGGCTCACCCTTATAATCCTAGCACTCTGGGAGGCTGAGGCGGGTGGATTGCTTGAACTCAGAAGTTCAAGACCAAACTGAGCAAGAGCGAGAACTAAAAGCAGACACACAATGGGGAAAGGACATTTAGAACTAAAAGCAGAAAATCTAGCTGGTATAATAGCACATGCCCATAGTCCCATCTACTTAAGAGGATGAGGCAAGAGGATTGCTCAAACCAAGAGTTTGAGGTTGCTGTGAGCTATGATGATGCCATGGCAGGGCAACAGATTAAGACTCTCTAAAAAATTCAATTCCTTTGCCCTTTTTTCTTTTTTAAGACAGAGTCTGTCACCCTCAGGAGAGTGCCCATGGCGTCACAGCTCACAGCAACCTCAAACTCTTGGGCTTAAGCAATTCTCTTGCCTCAGCCTCTCAAGTAGCTGGGACTACAGTGCTCTCTTCAATGCCCAGCTATTTTTTGTTGTTGTTGTTGTTGCAGCTGTCATTGTTGTCCAGCTGGCCCAGGTGGTCTCGAACCCACCAGCCTTGGTGCATGTGGCTGCTGCCATAACCACTGTCCTACGTGCACCAAGCCCCTTTGCCAATTTTTAATGTGAGTTGTTTTCTTACTATTGAATAGTCAAGTTACTTGTATATTTTTGGATATTAGCCCTTACCCAATGAATGATTTGCAAATATTTTCTTCCAATCTGTGAGTCATCTCTTCACTCTACTAATTGTTTCCTTTGCTGTGAAGAAGCTTTTTAGTTTATCGCAATCCTATCTATTTTTGCTTTCATTGCCTGTGCTTTTTGTGTCATATCCAAGAAATATCTCCCCGAACCTATGTCATAGTTTTCTTCTCTATTTTCTTCTAATAGTTTTATAGTTTCAGGTCTTATACTTAAGTCTTTAATCCATATTGAGGTGATCCTTGTATAAGGACTGAAATAAGGGTCCATTTTCATTCTTTATGAAAAGAGTTTTCCGAATATCATTTACTGAAGAGACTGTCCTTTCCCCATTGTGTGTTCTTGGCACCTTATTGAAAAATCAATTGACCGTTTGGGTTTACTTCTGGGCTCTCTATCTTATTCCTTTGGCTTATGTGTCTATTTTCATACCAGTATCATGCTGTTTTGATAACTATAAATTTGAAATATTAAATTGTCTTTTTTAATTCTTTCAAAATCTTCTCTAGTTTTCTATATTATCTTTTATAATCGGGGAAATAGAAACTATTTAAATAAACAAAATATAGCATGATCAGGCTCATTTTACTGCTATTCTAGAACAAGCACTCAATGCATCTTCTTTTCAATGTCATGCCTTTTGTCAAGCCACCTTTCTCACTTAACCTCTGATAATCCTTCAAAACTCAACTGAAAGGCCACCTCTTCTTTTTTTTTGGAGAGATAGAGTCTCACTTTATCGCCCTCGGTAGAGTGCAGAGGCGTCACACAGCTCTCAGCAACCTCCAACTCCTGGGCTTAGCTGATTCTCTTGCCTCAGCCTCCCGAGTAGCTGGGACTATAGGCACCCAGCACAACACCCAGCTCTTCTTTTTGTTGCAATTTGGCCGGGGCTGGGTTTGAACCCACCACCCTCAGTATATAGGGCTGGCGCCCTACTCACTGAGCCACAGGCGCCACCCAAGGCCACCTCTTTTATGCAGCTTTCTCTGAGTACTCCCTTCCTTACCAATCTCCCTCCCTGCACTAAACCTTGCACTTAATTGGGTATACCATCCTATGTTTATTCATTCTTACCCATTAACATTTTCTGTTTGCTGGCATATGCATGCATGTTTATGTGTATGTGTGTGTGAGAGAGAGTATATATGTACATCTGGTATAAATTAATGTCCTTTTCTCAGCAGCTACTGTGTCTTGGCCTGCTATGTGTGACACAGACAGCAAATAATAAATACTTGGTGGCAGTAGTAAGTGTTGAAACTTTTCAGGGGTCTGAAAATTCATGGGACTCCTTCCATTATATCATGACACTTAAGCTTACATTTACTGAGCACTTACTAAGTACCACGCACGTGCCATTTATTTTGTTACTTACAGAGTGAGAACTGGTTTAATTTTCAAGATTGAGGAAACTGAAACTTAGAAAGGTTGAGTAACTTGCCTAGGGCCAGGCACTCTGGGAGGCTGAGGTGGGTAGATTGCTTGAATGCAAGAATGCAACTTTTCTACTAAAAATAGAAAAACTAACCAGGCATCATGGCTGGTGCCTAGAGTCCCAGCTACTCAGGAGGCTGAGGCAGGAGGATAGCTTGAGCTCATGAGTTTGAGGTTGCTGTGAGTTACAATGATGCCACAGCATTTAAGCCAAGGCAGAGTGAGACTCTGTCTCCAAAACACCCCCCCAAAACAAAAACACCTAACTTGCCTAAAGTGACAAAGCTTAAGGTGATAAGGCATAGATTAAAACACAGCCCAAGCTGTTTACCACCTTTATGCTACAGCGCCTCACCAGGTCACGTGACAAACGAAACTGCTTGATGGCTCTTGACCCATATGGCACAAATGTGCTTTCAGTCAGATTACAAATTGGCCGAGTTACTTAGCCTTGCAGAACCTCAGTTTCCTCATCTGTAAAAGGGAGACGATGTTACCTGGAATGGTGGTTTTAAATGTCGAGGTATGGACAGCATGTCACACAGCGCCTAGTGCCTTCTTGGTATCTGCAGCTTTAAATTTGGGTACGGCAGCGCCCTCTCATTTCCTTCTTCACAGTCAGGGGAGCTGCATCTCCATAGTTGGAGGTCACAGCTCTGCCAGGTGGTGAAGGTGCCGTTGAAAAGCTTGGCCCAAGAGAAAACAAATAAGCAGCCTCAAGCCAGGTTAACTAAAGCTCGGATTTCCTCGTCTGAACGCATAATGATAGGAAGAAGGTTGTGTTACAGAAGTAACTGTTTTTGTTTGTCACCCAGGCCCACTAATCTAAACATCTCACTCCTTAGGAATTATTTTAGGACCAGGAAGCAGCACGCTGTTTATTGAAAGAGTCACAGAAGAGGATGAAGGCGTCTATCACTGCAAAGCCACCAACCAGAAGGGCTCCGTGGAAAGTTCAGCATACCTCACTGTGCAAGGTAAACAGCTGCTTAAGAAAGCAACAAGAAACTGGTCAGACATGTATTTCCCTGTTTGTTTAACTTTCCACCTCCCAGTCTCCTGCTGCCCTCCAGTCTGTTCCTTTCCCTGACCTCCTTCGCCCCCCTCCTCCTGCTCCGGGAAGGGACTGTCTGGTTCTGTCTGGCAAGGCAGAAGGTGAAGGCTGGCCCCGCTGGAGCGCTCGCAGTCTGACCACAGTCTCTGCAGGACAAGTAGCTCCCGGAAGAAAGGAAATCCCGCTGCTGACAGTGATCACACTGACCCGCCGCGAGGGGCCGGGTGGGCCACACCTGTGAGAGAGCAGCTGGGAAGGAAGAAAGGTGGTGAGGGTGGGTGGGGTGAGGAAGGGAACCCACACTCTCGAAATTGCTTCCCTTTTCCAATTCGCTTTCCTTTTCTAATTCCCAGAAGTTAGACACACGCCGCCATTCCAAATGTTTTCAGAAGCAGGTTTCTAAAATGAAGGAGGCTGTAAAATATTGTCAGAATGAAGCAACACATAATAAACACCCCACATGTCAGAGCAATATTCCGAGCACCTCTTTATAGCCTCAGCTAGTTTGCTGAGGAACAAAATACAAAGAGCACTCGGGGAGGCTGAGGCGGGTGGATTGCCTGAGCTCAGGAGTTCTAGACCAGACTGAGCAAGAGCAAGACCTCTCTCTAAGAAAAACAGAAAAGCTAGCCAGGCATGGCGGACACCTGTAGTCCCAGCTACTCTTGAGGCTTAGACAGGAGGATTGCTTGAACCCAAGATCTGAGGTTGCTGTGAGCTATGATGCCACAGCACTCTACCCAGGCAACAGAGTGAGACTGTCTCAAAAAAACAAAAAAAAGTACAAAGAGGCCTCATCTTACCCTGACTATGGCCATGTGGCTTCCACTCAGAAAATAGTTCAGACTTTAATTTCAAATTTCCAATGCTAAAAGCCAACTAAACCATAAAATTTATAGCATTGTAAAATATCAAATTGGCACCTCTTAGATGTAAACATCTCTGGTGTACTGAGATTTGACATGAAAAGTTGGCATGTGTTCAGTAGTGCATTTCCAAGTAGTCTACTACCCAGTGGACTTTAGAACACTGCCTGGACTTCTCAGGCAAGAACTAGGAAGAAGGCAAGGGGCTTCGTTTCTTTCAGCCTGGAAACTTACATTGCTTAAAGAATGTAACTCTGAGAATTCAGACTCCTTTAAAGCAGAATATTATAAGGGAATGATTTTAGAGTCTCCTAAAAATCTGAAACTACTCTGCTACAAATTTATACTTTCAGAAAAAGTGAGAGGATAGCATTCCTCAAAGTCTTTAATAATGTTCCTGTTTGGTCTCCCTTCTCCTCGCACGGGGGAAAATAGCTTATTACGTGTACGTCTCTTTGACACCTCCTTCTTCAAGTGGCTGCTAACCTGTCTTATAACAAGGCTGCATCAGGCCTAATCCTCAGTGTGGATAGTGTTTTCCCCCATCTCCTTCCAACGACTCCATGAAACACACAGAGCAGTTGATATAAACTTCCAGAGAGGTCTGAAATGACAAACCTAAATGACACAGCCAGGCAATGGCAGACCTGAGTGAAAACTGGACCCTTTTCCACGCCCCACGTCGCCCCACGTCGCCTCACCACATGGCCGCCTCTCTTGCCACTGTTTCACTCTTCTCTGCTGGAGAATGTGGGCCAATATCTGATGGCTTGGGAAAAGCCCTGGCATGAAGCAGAGACATTTTTGCAAGTTCATGAGCCTCCGCGAAGACTTTACTTCCTTTCCCTTCTCCTTTTCTGCCAGGCTGATCCGGGCTTCTCAGAAGCCACTTTGCTGAAAATTGTGCTTTCCAGTGTCTGTGGGTTTCTTCTGCCCACCAGTCAAGACCACCACCCTTCTGTTTGCCATAGCCGGCTCCACTTATTCCTTCAGTGCCCGCGGCCAGATCCGCGGCACTCTAGGGCCTCCCAGATTGGATAAGAGCTAGTACTTTGGCCATTGGTGAGCCTGACTCACCACAAAATGCCAAGTGTGGCCTTTGAGAGTGATGGTAATCCATCCCAGAATGTCTTATAAATACTCTGTCCATGTTCCATTCCCTACTCCAGCCTTCCAGCCAAATTTTCCTTAGCCTCTAAGGCCAGTTTAAACGCTTTCTGCCCGGTGAGATGTTCCGGGATGAATGGTTTGAGTCAGATGCTCGTTCTCATCTCTGCATTCTCACCCCACAGTTCTCAGATCATGCATCAGTACTTTATTCTGCCTTTTATTATGATTTTGGCATTGCTATGCCTCTCTTCCCTACTGATCAGTAAACCTTTTGAGGCAGGAACTCTCTGACATATCTTTTTATCCCACACCCATGCCCAGCCTTCAGCAGGAAAAACACTTAGCACTTTTAAGTGCAGGTGCCGTGCTAGACACTGAGCATATTCAATCCTACCATCCTCGTAAGAGTCCAGAGAAATAAACAGAAGCATCCTCAGTCTACAGGGGGGAAGACACAGACTCAAAGAGGTTAAATAACTTGCCCAAAGTCACACAATAAGCACGTGGTGAGGCTGAGACTTGAGTCCATGTCTGCGTAAATCTCAAGACTATTTCCTCTGCTGTTCTCATTCCTGGGGCCTAAGAAAGTTGTCTGCAAAAGGTTATGATGAAATTGTGCAAAAGCACTCTTTTGGTTATCTTATTATTTGGGTTTTTTTCTCTCTACATGCTTCTAGCTTTCCCACACTGGTTCCTTTTCCTACTAATGTTACACTTTTCTGAAAAGTTAGATGTTAAGAAAACTATGTTCCCGATAATTTCTGAAAGTTTCTATCAATGTATGAAAGTTTCTATCATTTACTCTTGGGGGGGGCGCAAGGCTGGGTTTGAACCCACCACCTCTGGCATATATGGCTGGCACCCTAAACTTTTGAGCCACAGGCACCACCCTCATTTACTCTTGAGAAAGGAGATAGTGTTTACTTGAATTGCCCGTGTTGGCTGTCACTGCACAGGCCCTAACCTTTACCATCTCTTGACATCATCTCTTAGCCTTCAAACCACCCTCCTCTCCTCCTCCAGTCCCACCCCTTCCACTACAGCAGTGATTCGCAACTGGTGTGCCGTGCACACTGCTGTACCTGAGAGGATCTTAGGTGTGCCGAGAAAATTCAAAGATCGTTTACCAAATCATTTTCTAAGTTCAAAGGACAGTAAATATATTCTTTTTTTTTATTTACTCTTTTTTGATCAACATAATTTAACTGTGCCGTGGAAGTTCAACTATAGGTTCAAGTGTGCTGTGAGGAAAAAAAGGTTGAAAAACACTGGCCTCCAGTCATCTTTTTCAGTCACTCTTCTGTGACCTGTTACTCCACAGGTCAGAATCTTGCCGTGGCTCCTGATCGCCTCTTCCCCTCCTGCAGGCGCACGGGTCCTGCACAGGCTCCTTCTCCAGCCCTGTCTTCTGTCCGTGCCCACTCCCCCCAGAGCTGCCGCGGAACTGTGCCTGAGCCCCTGAGCACACTCAGGCTCCTCCCAGCCTCTCTGCCTTCTCACATCTTCTTCCCCTTCTCTGAAAAGCCTGCCTTCCCAACTTGTTCCCCACCTGAGCAATCCTTCCCATCCTCACTTTCATGCTCGCGTCACTTTCTCTATGCTGACGGCCCTTCCGTGCCTGCGCTCCAGTATCACTCCATACATACTTCGCTTCAATGCTTGCCATTGTTTGTTACTCATTATTCCATCCCAGAGTGCTTGATAAATGTTTGCTGGATTAATCTATCTGGAAAACTACCACGTAAAGTCAGAAAAAGGAAATGCATCAAGACATTGTTGTGGGCAATAGAGAGAAGCCACATTCCACTAGCTGTTAACAAACAAATAACTTACTTGTTTTCCCAGAATTATGCAGGATATGGAAGGGTAAGCCATGATCCCTACCTTAACTGTGCTTCAAAAAGCTAGTTGAAAAAACATTAAGGTGCACATGAACCAAATAACCAAACATTTTAAACTCTTCTTAAGGGTAAAATAGAAGTATCAGTTTGTATAAAACAGACTATGCAATGCTACTGATAAGGGCCAAAGGTGTTCATAGAGGCAAAAAAGGATATGGCATGTGACTTGACCTCTTAGGGAAGGCTCGGAGAATGCTGCACTGGCAAGGTGTATGAGGCAGCAAGTTGTGAGGCAACTTTGGACCCTCTACCGTGGATATTCTCCTTGGCAATGACAGAGGCTAAGTAATTCTAAATAGTCCCTATTGGCTAGTCCATTGAATTTTCTGAGGAATTGGTACTTCTGACTCATGACCTCTTTTCCCTCATGTGGCATTTATCACTGAGAGAAATGGTACAGTTTGCAAGAGATCTATAGACACTACACACACACACACACATGCACACGCACACACCGTGTGTGTGTGTGTGTGTACGCATGTGTATATGCTTCTTTTTATCCCTTACTATTTCTAACTGCCATGCTTATTGAGTTCTTATATTTGTTTTTTATAGTTTTGGGGCCTTCTCCTTTGCTCTCTTTCATGATTTTTCCCCTGCTGTCAGAGCGTTGGCTGTATCCAATCTCTTTGCTCAAAAATTTCAATTTAGCAGAGAAAACAGATTACATAATCTGCAATCATCAAATTACACCTGGAATATTGTGTCCATTTATAAATAAATGGAGCCATATCCTGGATAGGGAAATGATAGAATAGTGCCAGAAAATGAGGATATTTAGTCTAAAAAGGAGACAACTTGGGAGTGACATGATTGTTTTCTTCAAATACTTGAGGAGCTTTCTGAGACAGGAAGCATTTAACTCATTCTTTGACACACCAGAAAAAGATAACTAGAACCAAGGAAAGAAGATGGTGGTAAAGCGTCTAAGAGGCAGGTTTCAGCCCATATAAGGATATAATTTTGAACAGAAAGAATTTTTGAAAGCCTGAATGTATGAGTCAGATCCACTATCTTGAACTGAAGGACTCTGGGCTCATTGAATT